ACATGTCTGGGAGTCGGAATCAACAAAGAAAGCTAGCCAGATTCGCACATGGAGTGTCTGGGTAGTAACGGTTGGACCGGAAGGACCCCCCCCTACCTATCGGTCTTTCTTTCCTTCGCGGCTGCACTGGTCGGGGCCTCCGGTGCCATGACACGTCCAGCTCCACCTGCCAAGCCAAGGCGCGCAATATTCGCCTTGTTCTTCTGGTCAATGAGTGCTCCAACCTCCTGAATATCCACCCGGCACTCCACACCCGGCCCGTGAGCGCTCGTACTGCCTCCGGTGCCCTTCATCGTTGTGGTTTTCACGCACGACATGAAATTGGTCCGCCAAAACATGTCTTTCCAAGTTTCACAATCTTCCACCAATTCACGCGGGTAGCTCTGAATTCTGGGTTATCCGGATGGTCCCTTAATCCAAACATCTGTCGGCTCATCTCCTTCTTGACCTTCGCGGATAGCACTTTGTACCTGTCGCAGGAGTGTGGCGGTACTGCTGAATATATGTCTTAAACTCTTGTTTTGCACAATCCCGGCGCAACTCTAAAGCCCTAGCATCCCAGAAAGTTCACAGGATAGGTTACATTGATGCGTTAGGGTAAGGGACGTGTTTCACCTCCCACCTTCCCAGACCTAAGGTTCACAAGTGTTTCACGGCCCTTCACCCTGTTACTCACCCTGTTTTCACGGCCTTTTCCAGCTCCGGTTTGCCACCAAAGCACCGGCTAAACGGCTGCGAAAAACAAAGCTCTGGTTCACTTGGGTGCCTTGAACTGCTCAAATAGTTAAGGTTTTCTCAAACCATCTTTGCCACTCTGACGCAGTGTCCGGGCACGCGTTGTCTTCTTCTTTGTATTTCTTTTCCAGTGCCTGCCAGTCCCGGAATGTCGATGACAGGCGTGACACACAAGCATGAAAACACATCTCTCCCCTGTCCGGGAGAATGGTGCTGTTAAGTTCCAGCTCAACCTCCATCGACCTTGGTAAAGCTAAAAAAACATGTCGAACGTCCCTCCTCAACATGCACGTGATTCCACGTGCATATACACACGTACCTCTGTAGACAAAAAGAACAACACGCACAATCTCACACACCACGTCGACGACCACACCAATGGCTCACTACCCGGCTGACCACCCAATGGCTATTAGGTTGGAGACCATTGCTACTAGGTTGGAGGGCAAAGCGGCCTCTAAAACACGTATCCGCCCATGTTTGTCCATCCCAAAGCTTCGAGAATCCCCCATGGAAACACTACCGCTCAGCCCTTTCGGCAGCCTGAGAGGACTTGGAGCCTCTTGGGTTTCCAAAAAGACTCCATGAACGAGAGGGGGCGGATCGAACAGAAGCCTGGAGCTTGGTGTTCGCTGCCTTCCATGCACTTTGAGCCTCGTTTTGAGTCTCCATGGCCTTGAACGAGGTGGGCAGGTCCATGGACCAGGCAGGTCAGTGATTGCAGAAGGAGAGCAACAATCCATGGGGGGCCCCAAGACCTTGTGGCCAACAGAAGCTTCAGCTGCCAAGACCTTCAGTTCGTGACCTCTTTGGAGTCTCCAAGGACGTGAGCTCTTCAAGCACGTTTCGTGACCTCATCCTCGGAGCTCAGGTTCAGTCACTTCGAAGATCCTGGTGAATTATATGTTCTGAGATGTTGCAGGCTTTTGCCCAGCCCTGGTTAGCTATCCTTCAATTCCATGCCCTAAGTTACCCAAACCCTGTAAGAATTATAGAAACTTTGGGTAAGTTAGTGACTCAACCCTTAAGATTGCTTCGACTTTTGGTGAAAAAGGCCTTCGACATGATTCGACTCTTGAAATCTGATCTGAGCTGTGCCCATCGTCCAGCGCCACGATGGCCGCGTGCCTTGTTGGCTTCCCTCACCTTCTCCTCAGCATCCTCCCTGACGGAGCACTGCAGGACTGAGCACTGCACCACTCGGAGGATCCGGACGAAGCGATGTTTCCTATTTGTGCCCAAGCCTCTATAGGCAAAGGTCCGGACGCATTGGAAGCTCAACTTGCGCTCCATGTCACCAATTCTTTTTTTTGAGCCCAACTCCTTTGGCCTCAGCCTCCCCCTCCGTCCTCCCTCCCCATGAACCTCGGGGTCCGGGTCGGCGGTTCCCTGGACGAGGCCGCGACCTGCCTCTTCTTCGAGGCCTCGTCCGCGGCCTTGTCGCTCTCGTCGCTCTTCTTCTCTGCCTCGGCGGCCTGGCGAAGCCGAGCCGAACGAGGCCGAACGGTGAGGAAGTGGAAGCCCTTAGAGCCCTTCGGGGTGAAGGAAATGAATCTGAGAAGATGGTTGGGGTGGGTTTGGCGGGTTTGGGGGGGGCCTCACCACCTCCTAGAAATATGGTTGGAGCCGGGAGTAGGTCTTGAGACCTGCTTGGATGCAAAGGAGAAAAGAGAATTGGACGAATATTTCGATGCGTTGTCTTCAGCTTGACCTGACCTAGTAGCTCTTCTTTGGCCGGGTGAGTTTGGGAAGGTCCCCCCCCAAAAAGGAACATGGCAACTGGTTGGTGTGGAAACTGACTGTCCTTTTTGACTGGTCGTTGCTTTTTCAGTTGTCATGATGGTCCTGAAGGGGCTACTCCAGGCCCTTGTTTTTGAAACATAAGCATGCAGTGAATGGAGATGCAGTGAATGCTGTAAAGAATTGTAAAGATAAAGCTGATGAGAGATGCCATAATTTCATGAGTGAGTAGTTTTCAGTAGCATCCAGAAGACATGACCGATACTACGACCGATCTATGAGACATGACAATCAAAGTACCGCCCCATGTTGGACCAACCGCTCTGCGAGGATGCGCAAGGCATGTCCTTCTTCTCTTGCTCCTCCTTCTCTGCTGTCATCGTGCTCTTCTTCTTCTCCGCCTTCTCTGTGGCTTCCTGGTCGCTCGGCAAAGACCGAAATGCGACAGGACAAGCCTTCTCTATATACTTATATATCGATCTATCGATCTAATCTCCGCACGTTTGGAATGTCAATCTGTTCACCTTGCATCGCCTGTAAATCCTATATGGAACCTCATCACAGCATCTTATGAAACGTGCCTCCCAATCCTTCCAAGACGCAAGATGAAGCAAAACACGAACTCCCAACACGTCACACGTCCTCAACCATCTTCCACCGATTCCCGACTCTCTCCGACCGCGGTCGCGCGGTCTCGCGCGCCTTAGAGAGGCGCAGGGTGCGACGGATGGCTTTGCTGATCTTGGCGGGCACCAACTTCATCTCCTGGAGGGCACCGAACTTCGTCCAAACCGTGGACGTCCAACGTGGTGGACGTCGGGCAAGTGCGGTGGATGTTGTTCACATGGTGGACATGGACGGTGTGACAGGTCCGGCAGGTCTAGAGAGGTCTTGAGATCCAAAGAGATTTGGATGTCTAGCGTCTAGAAGTCTAGAGTTGTAAAGGTGTACTTCACCTGGAATGATCAGCTGGGTAGAAGGTGGTTCTGGCAAATGTGCGTGGAGTTTTTGGTGATGGTGACGATGGTGATCTGAATCTCTATATATATATATATGTCTGATCATGTCTGATCTATGAACCCACGGGATGAGATGGGCGAAGGGATGAGCTCCATTTCAACCTCCACAGCGGATCCGCTCAGTCCGTCACTACCGCGCAGTCCGTCGCAACACACTCGTACACTCCTCATCCAAATACTCATCACTCTCAAGGAGCAAGTCCATGGTATGCATGGACCTCAACTGTCTGGCACTCAAAAAGCATATTGGATGTTGGAACAAACATAATCACCCCCTATACGCATTTTCTTGTCCCCAAAGTTACATCAGTTAACATCAGGCAATGGACCGCTGTGAAGGAAATGAACGGATGACCCAGAATCCCACCAAAAGCATCCAAAAAAGATCGGTGACAGGGTTGAAGCATATCTGATGCCCTGAACACTGCCTTCTCTTGCAACCCAAGACTTGCATTCAACATGGCTTGCGTGCTCAGCTGCTGGAAGCGTCTGGGTGATAGGGACACTCGTGTGCTGGGTGAACATGAAGCCGTTCATCCATGCAGGTTCATCTGTTCAGTTCAGCTCCGACGATATCCGTCAATGCTGCGGCCAAAGTATTCAAACGATTCACACCTGTCTTTGGACTTTGAAGCTTTTCTGCAACAACCTGAAGCTCCCCCAAAAGAGAAAGCCATGGCGGTTCTGGCCCGGTCACGCATCGCGCTCTGCCGCTTGGTCAGCCTCTGGCCCCCTGGTCCAGGAAGATTAGGTCTTCCGGGCCTACTGTTTAACTCTATAATAAAATGCAATTTGGAAACACACAAGCTATATGTTTCTGCATTTACCCATCACGGCCCATAACGTAGTATATCGATGTATATCGATGTATATCGTGTGGTCTTTGCAGGAGAATGGACATGAAGTTGTTCGGGTTGGTGCAGTGATTTAAGGACAAAAGTGAACACATCCACTCAGTTGCGCATGACTTGCCAGTCTTTAGCAGGTCTGCTGAAAAACTCCTGTCTTCCCCCCACCGACATGCCACCGAGAAGCTCTTCGCGCACGGACACGGCCACCGCCAAGCACAAGGCAAAGCTCCAGGCGTGGAAAGCCATGGGCGGTTTGGAACGGTTGCAACGTGAAATGCGGGACAAACTACGGAGCGACTTCCAGTGCTGTGACCGCCAAAAGGCCGCGGCGAGGTGTTTTTGTGGAAAACGAGATGTCTTCACAGATTCACCGAGCTCCAGGCGAGTTAGTTGGAATATGTTGAAACAATGAGAGAAACTTGGAGGGATTCATGGACTCATATAAAATGAGAACATGTGTTCAAAAGCATTTCAAAAGCCAGTGGTGGCCTTCCAAAAAAAGGAATGCCATGACCAACCAATTCTTCAGGCCATGTCATCTAGGCTGCCAAAGAACACAAAACACAGGGCGTGCTCGTGACCTGCGACACTCACCTTTTCCATTCCTGAGGTTATGAACATAACAGTCTAGATCAGTATAGTCTAGTAGTGCAGCATGACACGAGTACAAATGCAGTACAGTACGTATCTGAATGTGACTAAGAGTGCCCTCTAAGACTAGAGTACCCACCTACCATTCCGAGTCATTTGAAGGTCCGTCCAAATTCTTCTCCTCCTTCTTCAAATAGTCCCGGGATCCTTCCGGCAACCTCAGCATTGCACGCGGTGCCCAAGGTGCCCTGAGTGCCCTGGTCTGTCTGTCTGACTCGTCAGGGAAGGCACGCGCGCTTCTTTTCGTCTGTCGGCCAGGTCATCGTTCTGTCGGTGAAGTCCCATGGCCTATCAAAGCTTTTCTATGATATCTTTTGGGGAAACCCCAAAGGGGCCAATTGTTCATCCACATGGTTAACGGGTGGATCATGATGGATCTTTAACGCAACTCATGCACCATGGAGACGCACCCTGCAACAAGGGATCACATCCAAGTGGTGTCCAAGACTTTCATGTTGAACTCAGGTTTGAGCCCAGGAATTCCAAACACACCTCAAACACGAAAAGTATTCGAACAAAAAACAAGTACTTGTCGGGTGCTTCTTGAACCCCAAATTTGTTGCCGTCCAACCGACCCCACGTGCAAAGATCTTCATGCTGGGGTGCTGATCTTTCTCAGGAGAGATCGCATCAAAGAACGGGAGAGATGAACAAGGTAGCAAGGAGCCCGCACGATGCGGCGCGCGTTTGCCCAAAAGCCCCCCCCTGCACTGCAGTGCAACACACACCGCCCAGGGAGCTCCCAAAGCATCCCGACATCACCGCCCAGTCCGCCCCGTGCTGGATCGAGAGGCTTCTTCGGTGCGGCGAGGATCACCTCCACCGCATTGGCCACAATGAAGTTCCTCGGAGGAGGGTCGGACGCGGTCCGAAGGCAAAACACCGAACGTTCGCCCGGTTGGGGAGCGGCTGGAACACAACCATCAATCCTCGGAAAAAAAAGAAACCATGAACAACCGCCCGGTTTTGGCTGCGAAAACATTGCATGGGAAGACTTTCCATGCGAGGTGCATCATAACCCCTTGAGCAAGTCATGACATGTACCACTCCTAGCCCGTCCTTCAGCACCTATCTGCGTGGAATGTTCACCTCCAACACCACCCAAGGCACCTATATGCCATTTGCATTCTACTGTTCAGAAAGCAACCGCCCAAACTTCCAGGACTGCCACAGTCCAATATCCGCCCGCAGCCCTCCCGTTCCGCGCAGCGTCTTGGAGGTGACCAAGTTCATCACAGGCCTCTCCTCCTGGGAAATTTGGAATGTGAGTTCGAAGGGTGGAAGATCCAACTTCTTTGTAAACCATTGACTTGATTTATGGTCTTTACCGAACAACCTAGTGTGAGTTATACGTACTTGAGGGTTTTACTCTAGAAAACAGGGTCACCCTTTCGTTTGATGGTCTTTGGAAGGCTAGGGCCAGGGCCAGGGTCACATCCACAAAGTACCGTGGATACCGGAGTTGCTTGGGCCCTTGAATGGGTCGCGGTCACTGCCAGTTAAGCTGAAGGCGTGAGCGAGTTTGGAGCATTCACGTCAATGACCTCATGAACTACTGGAGTTGGTCATACAAAAAAAGCACTACTCAAGGAGATCTCAGGGAGTTAAAAGACCGGGTTTTACTGGGTCAGACTGGACTTGTAGGGCTCTCTTTAGACCAGGATTTGATGTGTGCCACCAGAACCGACCCATAAATACAAGCCCCATGGAACACGTCCTAATGAGTGGTTCCATAGTTCTTCCTTTCCAGCCCTTTTGGCTTCCTTTCGGCCCAGGTCGGACTCTCGACGACGCCGACGACTGCGCGCGCCTTGGTGGGAGGTCCCACGCGCGTCTGGGGCTTCAGTTCCTGTGGAGCTAAGGCCTGGCGGAAAAAGAAGTCACCGAACTCGATGGGATCCGGCCAACTACGTCCCAAGCAAATGTGTGAGGCAAGAGTTTAAGCTTGAACTGAGGTGGGTACGCGACGTGCAGCCCATACAAAAAAAACAGCCAAAAACACAAAAAAGGGTGTAAACTCAATCATCTTGCCAAGCTGGCTTCTTCGTAGCAGCAGCATGCATGATTTGAGCTCTTTAACGATTGAGTTCTTTCTCAAAACCCTCCCACCGGTGGTCGGAATCCGCTTGGCAATGCTGGCGCTACTACAACTTCCGTTTCGACTGTGTTTCTTTGGACACCCCCGCCACCGCCGAGTGGGTCGAGAGTTTTTTGGGGGATGGCTCACGAGCCCTCACCCACAACAGAAAAACACATTCCATTCCATAGCCCACACTGCAGGACCACTACAGGGTCACCAGGAAGCTCCGGTTCGCTGGAATTTCACCCCTGGCTGCCACAGCTGCGACCTCCGGATGTTCACGCTTCAGCTGGGACAGGGTCAACACCTGCGGCTGCTTCACCCCGCCCCGCGCAGCGAGAGGAGACCGCTGCCCGCTCCAGTGCTTCTCTCGACCCAGCAACTGACTCTGTGGGATCAGGGGGGTCCTTAATGCGATGCCACTGGGATTTCCGCTTGGAACTGCAGTGACTGCATAGTGTTTGATAAGGTAAATAGGCCAAATGACAGGGGAATGTCTGGGGAATAGAATTAAATAAACGTGATATGATGCGGTCTTAAAAGATATTGTTGAGGTAGGACACCAAATCCGCCCAAAAATGCCAGTGGGAGTTTCAAGGTTGAAGGAGGGCTCTCATACACTCATGAGAATATGATTCATTAACTTCCTACCTCCTATATTTTTGGATGCTTCCCTTTATAAGTTTGAGCCACAATGGCATTGCATTTTGGCTAATGAAAATGTAAGGAAACAAAACCCGCTTTCCACAGGTGCTTGGAGCACGTTCAAACTCTCAGTGCTGTTCATTTCGCCTGATGCTCGTTCACGCCGTTTCTCGACTGGATGCCCCGAACTCTCCCAGCCTTGCCACCACTCTTGGAGCACCTGGGCATCATTCCATCGGCCATGCCGGGCACTGCTGCGACCAAAACATCCCAGTCATGTTGACTATTATATATGAAATCCACCAAATTTGGATCAAAGAAACTCCTGAATGAATGGAGCCAACCAAGATTGAATAAGCTATATACAATTCAACAAACAAAAGTCCACTAGCAGTTGAATTGGATGCAGCTTCGGCATCCCGCTGGCGTCCTGCTCTGTTCTCTCCGCTCTGAAAATCGCTCCCGGGCGAATGGGCGCGGCGGCCGAAGTCGGATCTCGGATGGGCGCGCGGCGGCCGCAGAGGGAGATAATATATGGCTCTCATTCTGCCGGAAGGCCAGTGGTCATGGAAGAATCTGCACCCACGAATGGAGAATAATATGTGTGTTTTTTTTCACATCCATGCAATGGATCCTTTTGGGCCAGTGGTCATCCCCTTCTCTTTCCCATCTCCCTCTGGAAGAGTCACGCGACCATCACCCATGCCATGGCCCCGGTCAGGGAGTCGGAACTCCCTTCTCCCGGGAATCGATTTCTTGAAGATCTCCGTCAGGTTGCCCAGGCTACCCCGTCTCCAGGGCACACCAGTTAAGGTAAACTATAGGACCCCAAGCAACTTAAAGAAAAACAACTGAATATTAGGATCTATGTTTTTAAAGCTACCTATAGGTCCAGGTATGTCCAGGTGTGTTTTGTACTGTGAAATCTGGTCACCCCCAAAAATAAATACTCTGGTAACAAGCTCCACTGGAGTATACAGTATACCCAGAGATACCCAGAGTATTTTGACCCTAGGTCCATATACTACGTAAACGTATACGTAAACATGAATACCCTATGGCCCATGGGCGAGGGATCTCAGCTTCACCACTGCTCAGAGTCTGGCTTCCGCTTCCGCTCAGCTCCACCCCGCCGCCGCCGCAGCGGACGCATAGCGATGCTTCACGTGTTTCACCTCGAAAAAAACCCGCGCTGCGGTGCGGCGAGCGCCGACGAAGCGGGCCAGGGCGAAAGTCGATCCAAGTAATTATACCGTGCTTCACACAAAACAGGCGGGGATGCGAAAGTCGGCGTTTTGGTGTATATGGTTCTTTTTGTTGCCTCTTCTTGGGTTCCGTCGCGCTTGGGTTCGCCTACGAGTTGCAACGGGCCACTTCCAAAGACAAAACATGTTCAAGCTAAATTTGCATAAAATATTATGGGTGAGACCAACAAAAATCCAACTTTTTTGCCTGTATTGCCTACAGCTTTCTATCCTTACAGTTTTATTGGAGGTGGTCATGCAAAAACGCTACTCAGGGAGGTAGAAAAACCAGGTTTTGATGGATCTTGGGACTTGTACGTAGGCCTTGCCGAATATTCCAGACTTTGGACACACGCGAGGTGCCCTGGGAAAGCAACCGTATCCTATCAAGCTTGGCAGACCAGCATCAGTTGCTTTGACAATCTTTGACCTATTTGTTAGCTGAACACTGAACAGTGTCGACTTCAGAAGAAACAAGTGCACACGGAACAGAACAAAAACAACCAGTCAGTGAAGAAAAAAAACACAAACAGTGTAACAGGGAAGGGAACACCACCAAGCAGGGAAGAGACCAAAAAAGAAAACAACATCCTTAATATTGTAATAATATTATATATAATATAATCATTCTATATTCCCATACGTTTCCTTCAAAGGGCGACTTGTACCCTGCATGTCTTGGACCTGAACAACTCCCCCCCCCCCCCGTAGGCCGCGCGGAACCTCGGCCCAAGAGGCGAACCAGGTGGCCACCTTGGCCCCATAGACGGGGCCA